TTGAACATCTGTGTATGTGTGTGTGTGTCATATATTCTTATAATCTATAGTTTAGCTTTTATAGTTATACCTATAGTTTACTTTTAAGCTGTCAAGCCCTTCTTTGCCATATCTATATAAATCCACATCTTTTTGACACTGACGCTCGAATTCTAATCACACAATGAATATTCTTTGGTCCTTTTTCTTGGGAACCTTAGCCTTTCAGTAGTGATAAAGCTTGTGGTTTGCTCTGCAGAGTCACTATTGTCAGCATTATCAATCATTTAAAACTTAATTCTTTTGAATCAAGATTCCCAGTGAGTCTCATGTATTTCAATTACAGTTCAACAACAGTCACTATCTTTTAAACCAGTAGCTTCTCCCGTTCAGCAGCAGTCACTATCATCTCAAAACCAGTACTCACTTCTGTTGTCTCCTAAACCAATACTTGCATGTACTTCTCCTGTTCAACAGCAGATGATTCATTTGTATAAAGTATTGTACATTGATACTTCATTTTATCAGCAGTACAAATAACTGTTTTTAGCTGATGAACGAATCCACCTTTTTGCAACTACTGTGCCCTCATCCTCAAATTACACCAAAGAGTAGGTGCCTAACTTTTTGGTAATGCCATTTTTTGAATTAAGACAGTGAAGACAGAAGAGCTTCTTGCTACCATCTCTATTGAAGCCTCTATATCTTGATTATTACTATGAGCATGCATGAGCTAAACCGTGCGCGAGCTGAGCATGCGCATGAGTCTCTGTACTTTAGTACTGTACATGTACATTGTTCATTGTATATGTACATGCACTTTTCTACATGTAGTACTGTACATTATCAATTAAATGTACATTACTTATCATGGCATGTTTGTAACATATTATACAATGTACCCTATCAATAAAATATGTTGCTATATCAGTGGTTTTTAGAGTTGCAAATTTCGCAGAATCCTTCCTGATTCATGAAAATTAAATCCATGAAAATCAATTTAGTGTGGCACCGCATGGCACACA